TCATTTTAACTTGGGGAGGTAATTACCCTATTATTACCATTGTATCCACGCTTGGGGGCACTTTATATGTATAAATAAACATATTTTTAACATTTTTGACTTTCCTAGTATACATGTCGACGTGGAAATACAATTGAGGGTATAACTGAAAGGCATACAGTAATGTGTAAAAACACACTGATGTTTGCCTTTCACTTTAATCCTCGTGTTTAATGAATACACCATTCTCAGTTTCCTAGGTCTTTGCCCTGTCAATAAACATAGATATGTATTATGCAAAGAAACCTAATTATTTTTAAAAGCATTGAGTGAAAATCGGACATTGCTATCGCGAATACTTTCTGAGTTAGACGCATTAAAAATGGACTTAAATATACAAGGCCATCCTATACTAGACTAAATAAAAACGATTTTTTTTAGACTCCTTCAATAAATATTCGTCCCTCTTGACATTATTAAAATTTTTAGCTAATTGTTGTTTTTCTTTTCAGCGAATTTCCGAAAACAAAAAACTTTAAATCGCCGCAAATTTTTCTAAAGTTAATCGGTAGCACGATATCAATGGTCTGAGCTCATGTTCATTTCACCTCTAACAATAAAGACATTTAATCTGAGAATGTATGTACTCTGATATCAATGTAAAACGTTGATTTACATTGTAATGTCTTGGTATGACCTTCTGGGATTAAATGGACAAGGCTGCAGATATTCAACCCGGAGATATTGACGTATTGAAGGGTTGATATAGAATTGAATATGATACGATGATCATTGCTGTCGCCGGGTATAGAAGATTTTCCGGGCGCGCTTTAATCGGGAAAATCTAATGGAAATAATGGATATTATGGAGAAGCGGGAGGAAATAATGTTGCAAAATGTAAAGCAAGAATGAAGCAAAAATGAATGACTTTAAATGGTAAGTCTATTGATTTGAATTTAATGTTTATTGCAAAAGCACTGGACGATTCAAACTTAGGTTCATGTTATTAACAACGGTTTTTCAAAATTTTGACCATAAACAATTACTACAAAAACTGTAACCCAGATATTACAAAGTCGTCTTAAATGAGTTTCTAAGATGCCTAACATATCGGACATCTTTAATTAATTCTGTTCCATTTTACTTATCTTTCCTTTTGTTTTGCTCTTTGACTTGCTTCTTAATTTGCTTTATTTTCTTCTTCCATCTTTCACTACCCATGTCTTGAATAGTTTTAATTTTATTATATTCTAGTTGTAAATTTCTTAACCTTGTTTCCATATCTTCTATTTTTCTATTAACCTCAACCCTTTTCCTCTTGTATTTCATTAGTGACTGTTGTTCGTGTTTGTGAGTTTCTCTATCAATCGATATATTTGATTTCTCATATCTCCTAACGTTTTCTCCAATTTATTTTCTTATTTTCTGTAATTCTCTTCTTTGCTTCCTTGACATTTTTCTTTTTCAACATTTTGGTCTCTTCCTATTCTTGTATTAATCCATTTTTCTTCCAACGTTTCAATTCTTTCTGTAGCAACTTGCACTTCATTCTTAATTTTCTCTACCTCCACCTTTATTTCGTTTTTAAAATATTTTTCATTCTTTGCTGCAGTTTTCAATTTTTTATCTTTTCTTTATTTCTTAAGATTTATCAGAGAAAAATACTCTGATCTCTTCTTTTTCGTCATTTCTTTTTTCTTCTATTTCTCTTATTGGTTCCTTTTTTTATCTTCTCTATTTCCTTTGGTAGTTTCTGTTTAATGTTCTTTTCCATTTCATATATTTTGGTCATTATCTGTTTTATTTCATTTTTCATATCTTTCATCTTTTTTGTCGCTTTTCATTCATTTAATTATCCATTCTCTCCATTTTGTTCATTATTTGTTCTCTATCTTTCATTAACAATGTGCAAGATATCATTTTGTTTTAACTTGTCTTCCTTCTGTTTACATTTTTTGTACTGACTATATAGAATTTTTAATTGAAGTATCAGAAATGTAAAACGAGCAATACTATAATAATTTTGGCTATATTTTTTTTTTGTATAGTGTTTTGCTATAACCTTCTCTATTTATAATAAGTAATGTAGCAGGTGAACCTTTTTTTAATTATTTTAAAGTTTTTTTCTCTGTTCACATATTAGACTTATACAGTGTGCCCTAAAAAGTTTTGTAATATAAATAAAAAAAGTTTTATCTTACATTTAACAAAATAAACAAATCTTGATTAAATTTTCTGAATCACTTGGATATCAATAATTTATGATACATTTTTTTTTCTATTAAAATGTCTTGTATGTTATTTTAGGAGGGTGGAGCAGCTTTAAATGGTAAGTCTTTTTATATTAAAACACTATTTTACTTTATATGAACACATTAATCTTATAAGAGACGAACTTAACACTTTGAGATTTGAATGCAGAATGAATATTATAATAGACAAATAGTGTCGAATCAGTGGAATTATATTACTACTTACCAATTGAATATTTCGAAATATATAAAGTATTTGTCTATAAATTAATATAAACAGTCCTTATTTATATGAAATATATTGTGTTAACTGCACGGCCATTCTGTTGTTCTTTCGTCCTCGAAAGTAATACTGTTTCTACATGGACTTTCTGTTGCTCTTTTGCACTCAAATGGTAGGTTAGTATTTCGAAAATAAATTATTATAAACGATTATATTGAATCAGTCATAGTATTTGTACTATTATATTGCCGATAAAAATATTCTTTTGGGAATATTTAAAAAAAGCACATACTACGAATCATATAAAGGCAAAGATATTAAGTACACATTCATTTTTCTATTGTTTTCGTTTTATATCGATAATAATGTGAAATGGGTACTTGTTTTACAAGTAATTTTAAGATAAAAGGTTATATATTGCGGCGAAGAAGAACAAAAAGAAGAATAGTAAAAAGTGACGTGATAAATGCCGGTTTCGTTTAGTTTATATTTTGATACTACAAATCTCAGAAAGCTTAGATAGGGTGTCATGAAAATTTTGACTCCTAACAGGCTGGCTATGACATGTTTATTGAGTTTTAGTGTGGCAATTTCTAGTTCTAATATTTGTTTGTTAATTTTATTGATTGTTTAATGTTTCTTACTTTCTTAGTTTCATTAAAACAATTTTTTCTACACCCACATGGATATTAGCGAAAAAGTATGCTATTGCCTTCAACTGAACGAATATATTTCATATCCATTCTAGATAGTTCACTGCAAAAAATGAAATTCACCAATCACCGTCCATATTTTGATCAACGGACTGCTCTTATTTTTAAAATTTTTAAATAAGTGACAATTCTGTCAAATTAATTGTCAGTATATTTTTTAGTTATTGAGATTAAACATACATTAAAATAAGTTATTCTTGTGTAGAATCGATAAATAATAGATTTTATATTTTTATTTCGTCTATAATTATAAATCATTTGTTAATTTAAATAAAACTATATGAAGTCAATTTAATTACGAGTATTAAAACAAAAGAAAATAAACGCGTAGATGGTCCTGAGGCCAGGGTTCTTGTCTTCCATACGGAAGATTTTTTTTTCTTGTTTATTTTTTTTTTGTAAATTAGTAAAAACAAAAATTATTTTTAAATTAATCATTTTATCTCAATAAACTAAAATAATTTTTAATATTTGTAGATTTTCGTTACTGAATCGTAGAAAAAATATACTATATAACTCGAGTGGAATGTCCATATCGTACTTAGTGCGAAATGTCCATTCTTGTTGCAAAAACTATTATTTTAATTTACTGTTTGATATTAACCAAATTTTGACAGAAATTCCAATTTTTTTTTGTTTTGTACCTGAAAATAACAATGAATCTTACGGTAGTATCTTTTCATGTGTCAAGTTTTCACATATATAATTGTTTTTTAAATACATAAAATTCCTTTATTTTGGTTTATTTTATACCATACCAAAAGATTTTTGGAAATATTGGTTAATAGCCATAGAAAATAAATTTGACTTTTTTGGAAAACACAGGAGAATAAAGCCCAGAGTAATTCCGTTCCAATATTTTTCCACCTTACCGAATATTTTTGTTTCCACAAGAAGTTTTCTAAATCAAATACAATAGGTAATAATTTAAAAATTCACATTTAAATTAAGTTCTTCTCACCAGATAGTTCTGGCAACTTTTGGCGTTTGTTGTTTTTACGAGTCATCCTCATCCTCCATTTTACAGCATGTCCATACTATATATATCAGCATAATGGTATAGTCATCATAGCATAGTTGTAGAAAACATGAAATAAGAAGTAAAATTCCATTCAGTTAAATTTTAATATCTATCAATGGCAGTTCCAAAAACTAATTTCACCTTTAGTTGGCAGTGCAGTGGACCTCTTTTTATAACCAAATTTAGAAATTGTGTGATCAGCCAACAGTTAATAACTATGTAGCTATGTAGCTATTATAAATTAGGGATGTCGGCAGATTAATTAAAACAAAAAATATATTATTCTGTTTAAGTTTAAATGTCGAAACTCATATACAAGTGATTGACACGTAAGTGTTGACAGTGCCTTACATTGTAACCAAATATATTTAAACAAAGTCACTACTAACTAAACATTACATAACAATAACAAAAATAATATAGATACTATAATTTTTGCTGTTTAATAGCTCAACTACATATACATTTTTTTAAAGATATTTGAATACGGTATTATTTTTTTACACCATACGGTATAAAAATATTTCTTCTCAAGGGCCGTAAATGTTTTTAACTATTATAATTTTAGTTACTAAATTACCTAGTATTAAAAAAAGTTTGTAGTAATATTTATGTTTCTCAATTAACTGCATATAAGTACATGTACAATCAGGCCAAATCCAATACGAATATTTAAATAACCTATAATATACGATATTTAATGGCAAATAAAATAATTACCACCTTAAAATAAAACAAAAATTTAAAATAGTTTTCGAAATAACTTAATTTTAAAACGAATGACAGCTTATTCTAAAGGTTTCCAACAAACCCACGCTCTTTGGTCATCTGGTGCTAGTTCAAAAGGTTTGGTGTTGTCTCTTGAGACGAATTGGTTCACTTGATAGTCCAACATAGTTTGATAGCCGAAAATTTCACTCAGTTGCTGAAAATAATATTATGGCATCAGTGAGATAATTGAAAAATAGTTAAATTTATGATTGAAATACGTAGAACAAACTGAACGTATTAGAGTTAAAATATTCGATAGATTCTGTATTATTGTTATACTTATAACTAATCTATTTTGTTAAAGTTTCATAAAGTATTATTTAGCAATTCACAGAAAAATTACCCTTTAGGATTATTTTAAGAACGTCCTTAGAGCAAATTTATAGAACACTCTAACTAACTCAATTAGTGATTGATAAGATTCATTTTCATTTTCATTGTTACAGTCAAAGATAAGATATTTTAGTATTGTCTTAAATATCTTATTATTTAGTTTTAAGAACATTTTTAAGATGACTTTATAAAATTGTTATATTATAAATGCTCTTACAACCACGTCTAAATATCAAATTAGACAGTACAGCAAATCGTTCTTGTCAGGTCTTTACTAGTCTTTCACAACAGTTATAAGACAATATTGCGACAGTTTTATAATAGACTTCTTACAAAATTCTTTTTGTAAAACGTCATATAAAAGTTCGCTATACTACATTTAACACATTTTTATTTTTTATTATTTAACGTTACCTGTGTGAGAGGATTGACGTTTGTTGTTAAAATCCCCCTGAAACGTCTGCTCCTAGCTACGTTTATTACTTCAGCTTCAAGGAATTCTATCACAGCTACATTTTCCTTTGGCGTTAAAGACGAATGTACTGCCATCAAGAACGCATTAAAAGTGACTCCTTTCTCAGGTGGTAGTTGTTGGGCTCTAAAATATAATATTTTTAATTCAATAAACGATTCCATAGAAGATAAAAATCTATATTTTAATTTAATTTAAGAGAAATTAAAGTTTTTTTCGAGATGTCTTAAACAGTATAAAGGAAGAGCACAAGTAGCAAGGAGTCAAACGAATTTGATGGGATAAATGTGTCACAAAATAATACGACAGATCGTTTCTATCCGGAAAATAACTGCTCCTTTGGATAATACTACAACAGGCATTATATCCTAAGAAAAACAGCTCAAATTATTTTAAAGACTGTTGATATTTGACTTGATATCTTTTATGTTAACAGCCGGGATGAGTAATATTAATTAAACAAGATCTAGATTCTAGATGGTAATTAATTTATTAACATGTGTATATAAAATGATTAGATTGATAGTTTACTCTTGATATGTGTTTAAAGGGAGGTTCACATAATCTCTGACAGACTTAATATCTATCGAAAGAAAATTTTGACAGATCGTTGGAATGCCTAATTTAAAAATCAACTATTATTTTACCTTATTGGACCCTCAATAAATTCCAAAATCTCAAATGTCACACTCACTCTTGATTTTATTTTTATTTTGGGTTCGTCCATAGCATCGAAGTTTAAAGACACGCCAACGATTTTGCCATGCTCGTTTTTTAAGACGAAGCTTAAGTTTTGTTCCAAAAGCGGTTCCCACAGATTATCGATTAATTCAGCATAATCAGCAGGAGATATATAGGAAGAGATCCATTGGTCTAAATCAGAATCTGGGTAGAAACTGCTAGTCATCATTCTGAAATAAATATTGTTTTTATTTATAATTGTGTAGAGATAGCTTTAGATTTGTATTGATTTTATTCTATTCAGTTCTCTAATTAATGTACTTTATAGTCAACTAATTTTATGTTGCCTTTTTTATTTATATTTTTGTACAGTGGTCGCTCGTTGCCAAAATATTGGAGGTTCACAATGACAGAATATAGATCTCAGTAAAAATTTAGGTAAAAAACTTTCAGTGTTTATAATATACCTTCCTAAAACATTATATCATTGTGAGCCCCTTATATTTTGCGCACAAGCCGCCACTGATCTCTACGTTGTTTCCGTAGTGTGCACAAATATAGTACTTACTCAATAACGATGCTTTTATGAGTTGGTTGTAAACATTCTCGAGAAAAACTAGGTGCTTGTATGATGATTGGACTACTAGAAGTCATGCGGAGCAAAATTTCTCGAAAATCCTTTGCATAAAGAAAATCACCAATTTCTAAAAATTAATTATAACAATATCCTTAATTAAGGTGTTTAATATTTTTAATTTGTCAAATTTTATAACTGCTATATACACATATTTAAGTACTTAAATTTCCACATGGTGTTGTATACAAGATGTCTGGAAAAATGTAGTAGGTCTCTGGAATTCAGATAGAATTTTAAAAAATAGGATGACAAGTTCCCATAATTTTTTTCCTAGCAGCTCTTCCTACGGAGATACGGCCTCCAAAAGGACGCCACTGGAAATCAATTTTTCTTGAATAACTTTCAAACAACTTTTTGGGAAAAACCTCGTGAGTTCTGTGAAGGAAGAAATAACTTCCAGGACAAAATCAGATTCCAGTTTTGGGGAAAACCTTGTGAGTTCTGTGAAAGGAAAGGGAATTGAGCTGCCATTACATCTTGGATACAAATCGATGTAGAACATCGTCATCTCCGAGCCTGAACCGTCAACCCCACCAGAACTGGACGTTCAGATAAGTGAGACTGTCTATCTCCATACAAATTCTAGTAGTTATTCAGTCAGTAAACTAATCACTATTTTGAATACTGTTCATTTCAATACTTCCAAGTTACTTTTTGGAATAATGTTAATTTCAATACTTTTGAATTAATATACACTGTAAATTTTATTTGAATTCACCTTTTATTTCATCCATCTCAACAAGGAATTTAGGGTACGATTAATAATTATCATCAATCTAATTATTTGGCGCCCCCGTAGCAAAAATCACCCTTAAGAGTCTATTTTAAGTTAAGACTGTGCCCTAGGATTCTTGTAACGATTCAAGCCGATTTCCACGGACCCTAAGAAAGTCAAAAGAGTCAATATATAACATCATAATTATAATTACCCAACTGAGCTAAGCCGAAGTAAATTGCCTGATTATAGATAGGTAAGTAGCATCCTGTTTATAGTGGGGTTACATAATGTTCAAGGTATCATACAGGGTGTTAAAAATGTAAGCATTACAATGTACAACCTAGTCCGCCCCTGGTAAACTAAACAAGCTAATTATGTTTTAAGGGTAGTATTTTAAGAGGTTTTTACTACTGTTTATCATTTTAAATTTGCATTAAATTATATTACGTGGTTTGAAAGTTATTGAAGAAAAACTTATTTCCAGTGGCGTCCTTTTGGATTGGAAGCCATATCTCCGTAGGGAGGGCCGCTAGGAAAAAAAAATGGGATCTCGTTATCTTATTTTTTAATGTTCTTTCTAAAACCGAGAGACCTACCACATTTTCCCGAACACCCCGTATACACAATAGATAAAGGTGTAATATAACTGACAAAGATCGCTGTCATTAAGCAAAATCTTGTTCTTATTATACCTTATTCAATTCACTGGGAGGCAGAGTCCGTGCTATTAGAGAAAAGTATGTTTAATATCTTGTGTAAAAGGAAAAATACATCTACTTTGAAATTAACCATAAATACGACCACAACTATTACTATAGTAACTGTAACTATCAATACATATATCGGAATTATCTAGGTAATAAATAAATTCTAACACAAATTTTTCTTTAAATAAAATATCTTGACAAACCCCTGTACACACATTTTCAAATTTCAAGCTTGCATATATTTTGAAATATGTCTAATCCGAACTTCCCTCCATTTCATCTATATTAGTGTGTAGATTTTTTACACCCTATTAAGGTATTACTAAAGATTAATACACATTTACATTTATCAGATATAAAAAACTGTTTACCTAAAAATATAAAATCATTTGTTATATTATTATAGATTATCCATAGTAAAGTTAGAGGTGATGACAAGCAATCTAACACATGTCATGTACTAATTTTTCATGTTTTGGGAAATAAAAGTATATTCGTAATTTGGCCTATTATTGTACTACAATCCTTAATTCTACAATATACAGTGGCTACAGTCACAACATCATTAAACCACTGATTCATCAAATTTACAGAATGTCGCCAACTGCTGAAACGCAGCTTTACTTTTCTCTGATGTAGCAGACTTTATATTTAAAATTTCCTCGCCTGTATAATAAATTTAAGTATAAAAGCTTACCGATATAATAACCTTGTTCGTTTAATTTCGAAATTGTGTATATTGTATTCAAAGAATTTCCTCCGATATCAAAAAAATTGGAATTTATCGAAATTTCTGTTCTAACTGCTCTGTTTAGTACGCACGCTACTGTTTCAAATAACACTTTGGCTGCTTCTAGTTGATGAGAGGGTACACTTTCATAATTTATTTTTATTTCGGGTTCAATATCAGCTAAAAAAAAAAGTAAAAAATAAATAAAATAGGTATTAAATAATGGCATCGGCCTGACAGTCTCATCTCACGTCCGAACAGAACTTTGCTGTTATTTGGCATGGTGATTCATTGATGCCTATTGCTAAGAGCGAAAGATACTGATCCCAATCACGATGATGATTGAAATCCACTTTTGACAAGTATTTGTCAACGGTGGTATTCATTCGCCCTATTATTCCGTCTTACTGTGGGTACAACACTGTAATTCTGGTTTTCTTCATGCTTAGTCTGTCATAAAGTCCTCGGAAAAGCTGGATTTCTAAATTTCTGCCTTGATCACTGTGGATCTCTAAGGTTACTCCAAATTAACTGATAAACTCTTTAATAATTGCAGCCTTTTGATTTGTAATGGTGTAGACTGTCATCCACTTCATGAAATTATCCATAATCACCATCATGGTATTACCATTCTCGGTCATAAGAAATAGTACAGCAATATCTATTGCTTCATCAGATTCTTTCTTTTCCATTAAGATTCCATTACTTATAGCACAGGCAGATTATTTTTTTATTGATTCTTTCAAAGTCGTTCAATCTATCTGTTTGACCTTCCAGGTTTT